AACATCCCTTGCCGTTTGGCAAGTTTGCCGGATAATGTCGTGAAAATTATAAGCGGTACAATCCGATGAAAATGAGGACATTGTAGAGAGTATGATGCTCTCGAGATGGTGTGTTTTCTGTAAATATGTAACACTGCAAAAAGGTTGAGCCCAAGAATCGACTCCGAATAACCGAAACACGGTGTTTTACCCGTCTCCGGAACACTCTGGACGGTGGCGACATGCGGAAACCTCTTCCATCGTGGTGACACAAGACATGATACAACTATTCGAACGCTGCGGTCGTGATTTTGCCTACTCCCCTCTTTGAAGGAAATTCAACAGCCTCCGGGATCACTCATCTAGCAGCGACGCCGGCATTGGGCCTCAGAGCAGGCGACAGAAATTAATAGACGCTGCGATGGAAAAAGAAGACAAAAGGAAAATAGAGCGATCCTTTTGATGGAAGTGGGTGGTTGCAATGGACAAAAAAGTAAACAAATAGACTAACGAACGGCAATAAACGAGAGACCTTGTCGTTAGTCCATCATTTTCTCCCATAGTCTATGGCAACCACCTATTCCAACCTTTAGGATCGCTCCATTCTCCCGTTGTCTCCTCAATCTATCGCTTTGTCTATCAATTTCAATAATATACCCACTGATGCAATCAGAACGGTCTGCCGAATAGCCATTCTCTCCCTCTTCAGATACTTTATGGCTCTCAGGCACACACAAATTGGAGTCTTCAAGGAGGCTCATCGACGGAATTTTCGACTGTTGCCTTGAAACTTGAAAGTAAACGATGACACCTCATAGATAGTTCTTGAGATATTCAAGGCAAGGGTGCAGGAACTCACAAGAGTTCCCCCAAAATTAATTGAAGCTCCCCCATTTCAAGTTTTCGCAAAAGTTTGCGCGACACATAAAAAAACGCGGTCGACAGTTTTGCTCCCTCATAAAACCGCGCTTGAATGTTTTGTTCCCCCAAAAAACAGCATTATCTACCTTAGAAAAAGGAAAAAAGAAAAGAAAAAAACATGGCAAGGTTCCCCGATTTTTCTCGCCCTCGCATGGGTTTGTCCATTTGAAGCGAGCGGGATGGCCGGAGCCGGTCACGTGATCGGGAAGTTTCGGTGCGCCTGTTTCGAGGAATTTGGTGGAGAGCTCATCCAGCAACTAAACAATTAGTGGCAGTTTCAAATAGAGAGCCTCCCGTACTCAGTGCGGACATGTGGCTACAAGTGCGGCCATGGAGCTTCATCCCAAAATCGGAGCCAACCTATGAATTCAAATTATGAAGAATGATTTATTATTAAAATTGTTATGAGCCGTCGTTTATAGAGGACGTATTTGACGTTTTTTGAGAAATTTGCGGGCGGGCGCTTCTTCATCAACATGCTTGGCCATTTGGACGTATTCCTAACAAACGGAACTATGTGCATTAAGACATGAGCCCTGAGACCCATAACAAAACACGCATAACAGAGCTCACGTCATAGTGCACATAGTTCCGTTCGGCAGAAATACTTCTGTTTTGCTTTGTCATTGGAGTCTGAAGACGGCAGCTGCGTTTCTTCGGTATTTTTCGCATTAGAAGCTTGCCTTCCTTTCGCGGCCCTAAAAGCCTCATATCTAGACATGTCTCTACTCTCCCCGTACCTGGAACTTTAATTTGAAAGCCCCTGTTTATGCGTAAAGAACCCTTATTTTTTAAGGTGACAACGCTGCTGCAGGAAAAGGTGCAAGAGACGATGGTTCCTGGATCAGTTCCATTTTCCGCCGCGGCACGGCAGCAAGGGCGCGCGATTGGCGGGCACGGACATAATTTACCGGCAGGAAATTCATTTCCAGCGAGCGGCCCGCGCCGCGCCGCGTCATTGCGCGTGAAAATTAAACAAACTTGAGAGCGGCGCGTCCTCCGGGGACAAGCTAACAACTTGATGGCTTCGAATTTTTTATTGAGTAGTCACCTCACTCCCTGGTTTATGGTCGCCGACGCAAAGGATCCGCGACCAGATCCCCGACCCAATTATGTGCGCACACTTCAACTCGGCTGACTCACTCTTGTCGTAGCCGTCACGTCGTGCGTTCCATCGATCAACGGGTCGTTTCATAGTTTGGTCCGATTCTCGCCCTTGATCTCACAGACTTGAATCGCAGGACTTCTGACATCTGTCAGAGAGGGACGAATATTACAAGTCTAAGGACGGAGGCAAATAAGAAGTGAAAAGAAAGAGAAGGTCAAAAAAAGAGGGAAAAAAAGAAGATGAGGAGTAAGGAACGGAGAGGAGGTAGACGAAGAAGAACAAGAACAGTGAAAACGTTTTCATTTGTTTCTCCTCATCCCTATTCTTCCTCTCCTTTTCTTCAATTCTCTTCCTTCAGTCTTCTTCATACTCCTCCTTTCCTTCTTCTTCCTCTTCCTCCTTCTTTGTCTTCAAATTTCTAATGCATCCCCATCCGACATATTTTTACATAGATTTAATAGCTTTACAAATAGATATGGTTTTTCTGACTTTTTTTTTTTTTTTTTTTTTTTTTGTAGGTTTGACCCCACCTCTAAATCCTTTATCTAGAGCCCCTTTATACAGAGCTAGTTAAGAATGTGAATCCATTTCTGATTGGTTCCCGTATTTTAGGCCTCCACAGTGTCACAAACGGGAATAAAGATTAGATTTTCACCAATTGCAAAGATTATAATCTAGAATGGACTGGGGAATTACGGGTTCCGCAAGGAACAAGTGGAATGAGAGAGGGAACGGAGAAAGGTATTTGAGAATGAGCCGACCAAAGATTACGAAAAACTATCAATTTGTGTAATTTTTATTCCCGTTTGTGACTCCATGAGGGGAAATTGTCTTAACTCTCAGTATGAAGGGACTCTAGTTTTATCAGGCATGCATCTAAGTCTGGAAGACCCAAGCCCGTCAGATTATGGTTAAACTTGATGTCGGCGAAGTTTTAAGGGGAAAATTACACATTTTTTCCCGGCGTTTCCGAGTCTCTTTCTCTTTACTGCCCGGAAAATTTTGCCGAGTAAGGACTGGGACTGAAAAACCACGGAATAGGATAAGAACAGAGGCACTGCGATATCTGCCTTTCCATGGAGTCATGAGGAACACGTCAGGCATATTAAACTGTCAAAAAACAATTTAAAAATTAAAGGGGGTTGACAACTCCAGTTATGATCTCTTTCTTAAAAATTGGACGTATTTCTGCCAAACGTAGCTATATGCATTAAGATATGAGCCCTGAGACCCATAAGAATATGCACATAACAGGGCTTACATCATAATGCACATAGTTCCGTTTGACAGAAATACGTCGAATTTATCAGGAACGCGTCAAAGTCGAATAAAAGTGTATAAACGCTCAGCTAATAACTAGACCCTGGTTTCACATGAATTATTTGGACGTATTTCTGCCAAACGGAAGTATGTGCATTAAGACATGAGCCCTGAGACCCATAAGAATATATGCATAACAGGGCTCACGTCGCAATGCACATAATTCCGTTTGGCAGAAATGCGTCCATTTCTCTCTTTTAGTTCACCATATTTGCAGTTTTTCGACAGAAACTAAAACGGCTTCAAATCTACTCGCATACAGCTTACCTTCTTACAGTGGCGCACCATACCCTGGAGTTCAGCGCAACGCACAGACGCACACCGCGCGCGCCGACCACTGAACGAGTGATTCGCGAGACTTATAAATTTCCTTCAAAAAGGAGAGTAGGCAAAATCACTACCGTAGCGCTCGAATAGTCGCATCGCGACTTATGCCGCCACGATGGAAGGGGATTTTGCATCTTGCCACCGCACTGAGCGTTTCCGGGGCAGATGAAACACGTTCCGGCTTTTGGGAGTCGATTCTTTGGGTCAACTATTTTGCATTGTTGCATATTTATAGCAAACGCACAATCTTAAGAGCTTCATGGTTTCCATAATGTCCTCGTTCTGAAATTCCCTCATTTTCACTTTCTTTCCCCTGACTCAAAATGTTCAACATTATTTCAAGGCATTTTTGACGGAGTTGGAAAATTTTACAAAAATGAAAAATGTCGACTAATTTTTACGACTGAAAGCGCTCGCACCCGTAGACTTAACTTTTCGGGTTCTGTTTGTTTTAGAATATTTTCAGAACAATTTTCTATGCTCTTTTGTATCAATTACTCAGTCTTAAGTTTTCTCGGACTCGAGCGTTAATGGTTACTCTTATGATTTTATATTATAGAGTAAGAATAATAAAAAAATTAAGTATTGGATTCAAATTCAAAGACAAAGTCATCATTTGCTGGCAAAATTACTCCAATGGGGGCCCTCAAATGGCACAATGACGCCCCTAACACTTACACGCGCAGGTGTGGTGTACCTAGTGGTTCAGTCCCTAGGGCGGTCACCGAAGTTAAGCTACGTCGGGCGTGGATAGTACTTAGATTGGAGACCGCATGGGAACGAGCGTTGTCCACTGAAGATTGTGATAATTACTTGTGATTGAAAACTCACAGCAGCCCTCCCTGGTCGTCAAATAGTGAATTAACGTACCTGGCGGATCGGTATTTAACTAAATTTTTGCCTCTACAGTCTCTCTGGGAGTTTCCACTCCGCTTACGTCGGACACACTGAGGTCAGTGCCACTTGCCTTTGGAGCAGACCTAACACTAACGTAACAGATAAGCGCCCGGCAGCACTGACAGCAGTTTTTAGGTCTGTCCCAAAGGCAAATGCTACTGATCGGAGCACTTGCCATTTTTACCAGAAATAGTTTCAGGTGGATCAAAGGAGAGTAAGTACAAGAAAAATAAAAAATACCACGCCCAATGTGAACATAAATAAAAATAAAAAAAAAAGAAGCTCCATTGATATGAGCATAACGAATTAATCAACCACTATTAACATCTCGCATGATATGAATTACTCTATCAAAAGCAACCCTCACATTAGCCGGTAATTCTCTCGGTAATTGAATAAGGTAAAAGGAAGCATGCAGACATGCGAAAATAATTCATTAGGTACTCACCACTGGTTCGAACAGGTTGCCTTGAAAGTTTTGGTTCACGTACGGTTCTCTTCACAAGGCAGACGTCGGAGATTCTGATACATTTTGTTTTATTCTTTGTTACCGTTGTTTTCACTCAACGCGGAAGGTAGTTTTTTATCTCTGGATTGAAAAATAATCGCACTTTATTTCACGAAAGACCGATAAACGACAAATTTACGACAATCGCGATAATGTCCAAACGCACTAAGAATTACCGCTTGAATATCTTTTTACGCGATTTTTTAGGATTTAATTCAATTATTTCAAGTCGGTAAGCATCGGGTGATTTTTACTTTTTGTCACTTCAACTCTTGCAGACGATTTCTAAGAAGATTTGACAATCCTGGGGCGCAGCAACTGATAAATTTGCTCCTTCTCGATTCTGAAAAATGAGAAAGAAATAATTTAATTGATTTTGGGTTCATTTAAAAGAAATAAATTGCAGTTTTTAGAATAAACATCACGGTACAAGATGTAAAGTTTGACAAGTACGAGTGAAAGTGCATGATTGGTGAGAAGAACCGATTGTGGTTAGTGGCTTAATTAGCAACAGAGATTCTGAAACACTGCAATCGAGAAGTGCCCTTCTCGCATCCAGTGCCTCAATTCTTTAAAACTGCCGTGATATTTCTTCTCCGTGCGAAGAAAATTCTGCAAAAACTTCAAGGAATGGTGTCAATTTGTTCTCCTTTAAAAAAATAACGTAGAGGCGGGGATTTTCGGACACCGCAAACGAGATACGTGATTGCGGACTTACCCCGTCGTAATGAGTTATTTAAAAGGTTTTATTTGCATTTTCCAAGTTTTGAAGAAATATGAGTCCCGCGAGAGTGAAAACTGGGCTTAAAGTATCAGAGAGTGTTAGCGGCAAGCTTACTGACTCCGTTGATAAAATCTCGCATGAAATATTTGCAACCAAAGATGGTCACTCAATTTCCTCAGAAAGTCATTTTCTGCGCGTACCGTGCTCTTGCTCTTCTTTAGCATAGTAGTCCAATAGAGAGAGGTCTCGACAGGGATTGAGCCCAAAACGTACCTACCATTCAACATTGCGAAACCATTCCCAATTTTTATTTTTACCGGGAAATTATCAAGCGTTTCGAAAAGAAAATTCCCCTGATTTTTCTTCCAATTATAAGCGAAAATCGGCAAAATTTTGAAAAGAAATTTTAGGCTTTATTCCTGTTAAAATTTGAATCAGTTGAGTCAGTTTTACAGCATGAGAATGGAAAGACGTCCCTTAGTTTGTGAAACGACGATAGACTTCATTAAGCAATAAAGAACCAGTATTTCTGACTTAAATGTAAAAAAACTTATCTACACTGGGAAACTAATGGCATATACGTTGTTTACACAATGAACTAGAAATAGCAGTTCCTCACTGCAAAATGTGGGCCAAATGATTCATGTGAAACTCTGAAAAACGATTTCTAATTTCCGGAAAAAAACTCTTGAAATTGTTTTTTTTTTTTTTTAAACACGGAGCGAGCACGCGTCTAATCAGACGTTTGTTCGAAATGCTACGGGAAAACGAGGTATATGAGCATTCGAGTTTGGTCAAATTTTTCCAGATAAAACATTGATTTTTAAGGAGAGTAATAAATATTTATCCTGAAAATGTTTAGATACCTACTTTAAATAAAAAATGTGAATAAAATTCTTTTTATAATTGGACGAAAAATCTTTAGCAAGTTTTCAGATTTGTATTTATCGAAGAAAATTTGGCCATTCCGTATTGTTCATACGGCGCTTTTCTTAGCAAGGTATTGAGGATTTAGGATTTCGAGGATTTTTAACTGCGTCGATTTTCCAGGAAATGAAAATGTTTTCGTGGGAATGCGGAATGAACGAGACCCACTCGACCGTGACTGAGCCACGTGGAGCTTTTAAAGCGCAGTCTTTGTTTCGCGAAATATTTCGCAAGTAAGATGGGTACCACGAAAAGAGCGCTTTATCCCCTAATGTGTTCCACAGAATTTCACGGATAAATTTCAGGAACGAATGGAAAATTTGCCACTGGGTATTTTTTCTCTTGATGATGCTCCGTCCGTCATGGAACGTAAACACGTTGGTGTAGCTATGGTAATAATATATCGACGGTGAAACTACCAAACCACGTATCTCGTTTGCGGTGTTTAAAAATCTACGCTCACATTTTATTTTTTTGAAGTAGACCAAATCCATATCATTCCTTGAAATTTTCACGGAATTTTTTCCGCACAAAGAGGAAAAATCACAGAAATTTTCAAGACTGGATGTTAAGTAGTTTTTCATTTGAAAAATAAACTATGACAGGAAGTCTGCGATGCCGCAAACCGAGATACGTGGTTTGGTAGTTTCACCGTCGATATGCGAAAATGATGCTTTAATGCGCTGAGATGGGACAAGTAAATGAAAGAAAGGAAAAACTTCTGACTTGATACAGCGTTGCAAAATTTCCGTACATCACTATGGTATAGCATTAATAGTTAGCAAGTAATTAGACTCTTAAAAATACTTGTTAACACAGAATATACTAAATTTAGAAAACCTTTGTGAGTTTTTTTCCTAAAAATAAAATCTTGCACTTTTACTGGGTTTCATCGCATGCGTATACATATCCTATGTTTTACAAACAATTTAAGGAGCAATTTTTGATGTGTATGTCGCTAGTATTGCATTGTATTTTGTGTTTCACATCTGAATTCTGCCGAACAACTGGCGAGAAAACTCGTTGTTCCCAGAAACACCAAATATTTGTGTAATGGTTTATTGCAATGAGATATTAAATACGCACTAGTCGCCAGTAGTTCTTGGATAAACTGAGACTGGAGTAACGTGAAACTGTTGGACAGCCATATTAGAGTTAATTAATTTCAGTCAACAACACAAAACTTGTAAGTTAAAAATGTTACTTATTTATTATTAAAATGATAACAGTTTCGTTAAACAGTCCCTACTCCAAAAAACTGCCCGATTGTCCTCCGCATTAGGCTAAATTAACAGGAAATATACAAAATTTCAAACCACAGTACATATAGTTTTCCAATCACACAATCAATTGAAAGTTTCAATTATAAAAAATTACAAATAATTCGATACAATTAGAAAGAAGTTAATTATTTATTATTTAAAAGATGATAGTTTTGTTAAAACACAGCTTAACATTCCCTACCGCTAAAAACTGCCCCCGATTAACCTTCAAAAAAGCGTAAAATGACATGGAATCTGCAACATTGCAAACGGTGGTACCTATACGCACAGTTAATAACATTCACTTTAGAAGTTAGAGAGCTTAATTATTTATTATTAAAATGATGACAGTTCTGTTTAAACGTAGCTTAACATTCCCCACCACTAAAAACTGCCCCCAATTATCCTCCAAAAAAGCGTAAAATAACAGAAAATCTGCAACATTGCAAACGGCGGCGCTACGTAGTTTCCTAATTTCACAATCGATTCGTAATCGGCTGCCGCCTCTCGTAATGTCGGGCAAAGGACAGGTGGGGGAGGGGGCGATAGGAACAGTAAAATACGATAAATATCACTGGGGCAGTCTGAATTTTCAGCCCTCTGGACGGCTCTATTTCGTCCGGATAATTGCTGGACATTAAGAGGGGCGGGGAGTTTCAATAATTGACATCCGTAATGACGCCAAAAGCGCACGTCCTTTTTTGTGCGACCCACGCGTCCGTCAAGTCGCTGGAAAAATCCCATATTCTCTCAATTTAGGAGCCATCCGTGAATAGGTTTGCTCCACGCAGGGACAATCAATTTTATTATGGATCCCGAATATGTTCCTTGTAGAGCGAGAGGTATGATTGGAAATCAACGCTCAGTTTCACTTAACACATAGACGGATTCGGGGGGGAGGCGGGGAGGGGGGCGATGGCCCCAAAAAAGGGACGAAGAAACAGGAAGGGAAGAAGGAAGGGAGTCACGGAGGAGGGAGGAAGATAGGACGCTTAACAATTCATAACAAAATTGCTTCAAACTGCATTTTGAAACTTTAAAATTTCGCAAATTTTCTAAGGGAGTCACTCGTGCCCCACTTCCAGCCCCCTCCTTCCAAGTGTCTGGAACCGCCTATGACTTAGCCCTTAGATGCCCAAGTCGGTTTAAATTGACCCGAGGCTTGCTAAAAACACGTGGCCCGCGGACCGTATGGGATATCGTTACATACGAACTTTAGACATAGGTCTGCAAATACATCATAAAAAATGAATCAAACATCAAAGTGAAAGAAAATAAAAAAATCGAGTGTCAACACAGCCGGAGATAAGAGAGACGTATTCTGGCTGGAGTACCTACAGATCTGAAACTCCGAAAGTCCATCAGGCCTTCACCGATGCCTCCGCGAATAAAGTTAGGGCCCAAAAGGGCAGCCAACCTATGAATTTCAATTATCCAGAGCGATTTACTGATACTATCGTTACGAACCGTCCTTTATTAAGCACGTGTTTGACTCAGTTCTCGCATAAATTTACTCATTTTCGCGGAAGAACGCTCATTTCTGGACATTCTTGGCCATCTTGGTTAGAATTGGAATCTGCAGACTGGCAGTGAAATTTTGTGCGTTAGAACTTGGTTAAAAGGGTGGCTGCACTTTTGGGCCCTAAGCCCTCCATGAACCGATCTGTCGGTACTCTCCCTATACAGGTACTCTAATTCTGGCCTCGTAGCTTTTCTTTCCAATCTAATCGGCACCTCATTGGCAGCATATGCAGAACGGAGCATTAAGAATGCCTCGCGGCATTACGCCTTCAATTTTTCAGACGCAACCCGGACATCCATCAAGCATGAGTAGTTGTATTCCTGCGCCGTCATCAAAGTGCGTCCTTTTTCTTGCTCTTTCTCTATACTGTGTGTTGGTATGACACTTGTGAATGATGAATAATGACCAATTGTTGATCAGTTGGCTTAGGAAATATTCGCTTGTTTCTACAATCAGAACATCAAAGTAGGACATGGATGCCACTGTGAGAGCCCCTCGAAATTACGAGGCTCCATTACTTTTTGATCAACATAATTCGCGAACACAATATCAAAAGACACTAAATCGATACTGTTGGTGATTTATGTTGATCAATAAATAAAAGTGCGTCTTAATTTAGATGGGGAACAATCACCTGCCGCATGGACGTCTCATTTTGATCATGGACAACTCAACTTAATTTGCAATGTCTCGTTTAGCAATGTGGTCACCCTGACATTCATGAGTCATCGTTAGGCAAATTATATATTCAACAAGCTGCTTATTCCTCACCATTAGGTGAAAAGTAACGTTAATCTCCGAGCTTCACTTTTGCCTTACCCAACTACTCTGCTTTGAATGCTAGTGCGTTGTCTTTCAGATATGTATACTTGCAGGTTACGCACAACAAGACATGCTCAGACATCTGA